TAGTTTTTCGGTTTTAAAAAAATTAAACCATTCGGTTTAAAATAGAGTTCGGTTTCGATTTGAAAAGTTCAGTTCGGTTCGGTTTCGGTTTCGGTTCGATATTCGGTTCGATTTTGGTAGAAGTCCACTAAATAAACGTTTCCTTTTTTACTTGCCCGATTGTTCAGTTGGCTCACTTGGAGTGCCACTTGAAGTGTTTTGTTGATGACAATATAAAGAATCATCCACTTGAGGGCTCCACCGCCGACATCAAAGTGGTGAGTGGACGAAGAGGACGAGGAATCAGATGAAACCTCGCCGCTTGCGTGGTGGCCGTTGCTCAAAATGGCGGAAGCAGGTGCAGCGGCAGACGAGGGAGTGGTGGACCAAAGAGTAGGGTTGCAAAGCTCATCGTTCATGGCGGAGAGAATCTCATACGCTGCTTCGATTGTTTCTTCCAAGTGCTTCTGTCCCTCGATAGCCAGTTCCTGTGTGGTCTTTGTCTTTTCCTCCATGTATGTACGTCAAGGGATTTACTAATAGTTCCCGGCGAGAAGTGGTGGCGCAAATGCGATTGTATAGTGGCGGAGACGGCGAAGCAGGTAAATTGTATTAGCGTCAAAGTTCAAACCGCTAGCTATATTGACCGACTCAAGTTATTTTTTTGAAACGACTCAAGTTATTTTATCGTAACCAATAGGGCTGGGCACTTCGGATTTCGGTTCGGTTTTTTCGGTTTCGGTTTTAAAAAAATTAAACCATTCGGTTTAAAATAGAGTTCGGTTTCAGTTTCGGTTTCGGTTTGAAAAGTTCGGTTCGGTTCGGTTTCGGTTTCGGTTCGGTTTTGGTAGAAGTCCACTAAATAAGCGTTTCCTTTTTTACTTGCCCGATTATTTAGTTGGCTCACTTGGAGTGCCACTTGAAGTGTTTTGTTGATGACAATATAAAGAATCATCCATCTATAGTTAATATTTGAAAAATAAGAATTATTAAAATGCCAAATGTTGAGACTTACGACTTAGAGTTGATATCTGAGTACTTGAGGAGTTAAAATTATTAATTATTATAATATGTATATATAATACTAGCATTTTGTACGAGTGATGCGCGAAAATTTATGCCCAACATTAAAAATTGATAAATGCAAATAATTACAAATTATAGTTCAAATTATATTTCGCAAAATCCTTAAATTAGTAAATTTTAATCATCGTATTTGAAAACTATAGAGATGAACAAAATTGATATTTTGTTTATTAATAATGTAAACAATTTTGATATAATTTATACTTTGTTTTTACAATAAATAAATAAAATATATATAATACTAACTAGTAACCGGTCACATATATTAGTGCGTGTGCGTGCCTATATATATATACACACATATATAATTTACTATTCATAGAAATTTAATTAAAATATAATAAACAATTAAACTAATTATATAATGATTTTAATAAAATGATAACTAAAGAATATGAAAAAGATATCATAGATAATTAGATATAGGTGTATGATAATAATGATAGAATTATGAAAGTTTTAGAATTAAATAATAACGGTGTTATAACAGTATAAGGGTATTTTAGTCCAACAATAATGTAGTAGGGATAATTTTGTCTATTACAATTGAAGTTTACAACATTTAATAAAACAATATATATACCTTTATTAATATACAAATGTAAACATTAACACAAATATGCCTTTAGCTTAATGGGTAAAGCTCTTAACTTTAAACTTGGTGGTTAAGGGTTCAAACCTCACTTAAGACATTTAAGTATATTGTATATAGTTATTATATATAAAAAAAATAAAAAAAATAGAAAAACCGATCGGTTCTTCGGTTCAACCCGAACCGATCAGGTTAGCCAAACCACAGACTGATCGGTCTTTCGGTTTGGGACCGAACCGAACCGAAATGCCCAGCCCTATTTGAATCAACCATTTTGAAGTCGAGGAATCGGCCAACCACAAATTTCTTTGAGCCGGCATCCTCCTTTGATGTGCTTATCTTTCGATATACATCATATAGCGTGTCACACAATCCATTCAGGATGTAGTTTCGGCAAAGGAAGTCCGAATCCTTCCAATAGCCAACTGCCATCACTGATTGTGCATCTTGTTCCTTCAATTCGGAAACACTCTCGGACAAGAATCTTGCCAAGCCGAGAGTTGCTAGGTAGAACAGCATTTTCTGTTGCCACCTCTTGAAGTTCGAACCAACACCGGTGAACTTCTCTGGCTTTTCAGCCGAACCACTCGGTACCGAGGGTACACGAGACATGGGAATATATCCCTCAGTGCTCCAACCATCCTGTGAACCAACGTTCACTGGTGTAGCTTGGGAATTAGCAACATTATTGCCATTCCCACCATTGTTGTTCTCAACAACATTTTCTTCCCCATTGTTAATGATTGGCAGCTCGGGGTTCTCCATTTCTTCAAGGAAATTAGAGAAAAAAATCAACGGGAAAACAAGAAATAAGGTTTTAAGACTGTAGGAACCGTTGGTAGAAAAACAAATAATAATCAAAAAATAAGATTATTATTTTTTCTGGAAAACAAAAGGGAAGGAAAGATGGAGAAAAAAATGGCTAGTGTTTGGTGTTGGGTTTTTGCAAGAGTCGAGTGAGCACTCTTTCTTTAAAACCTTATTTGCCACCTCCCGTAGATGCTAGGAGCGTTGTGGCCTAGGCTTCCCAAGATAAAACTTGCTTTGATTCAATGTTTGAGCACTCAAACAAGGAATCCGGCGAGCAAGACTGGCTATGAACACTGTAGGCTAAAGAAGGAGTAGAAGCAGAGATTTTTGAAGCTGGAAAAATACTTTCGTGTTGTGTAATTCTGTGTGTTAAAACTCCACTGCCCAACTCCTTCTTATATAGGGGTGAGGGATTTAATAGCATTTAATATGGCACTTAAGGGCACCCCTCCACCTCCCTGTAACAGTAACCTTAAACCTGGGTTTCAATTCGAAAAATTAAAATTGGAATTAACCCAGAAAATTAATTCCGTAACAGTAGAATTGAACACTCAACGGTCACAAAACTGCACAGGTTCGTGACTTCCAGTTTCGAACCCAGGCCGAAACTTGGAAGTATCGGCCAAGGGCCCTTTTACTGTCTCGGCCACAGGCCGAAACCACAGTGGTTTCGGCCACCTTCAGTGGCGTATGTTGGAAAATGATTCTGGAATTTGGCATAACTTATGCCCGCCAATTTCCGGACGACATTCGTGCACCGGCGCACACGAGCTTGGAGCAAGCCTTTCTAGTTAGAATTTGATTTGCACCCCCCCCCCCCCCCCCCCCGCGCGAGAGAGCCTCTATGCTATACAATTCTACAAGTTTCAAAAGAGCTCTTGTATATAAGGGGGGGAAATCTTCATTCCAAAGCAATGTGGGACAAAAGCTCACTTTTTCCCTTCATTTTCCAACTCAAATGGGTCTACTTTGAGAATCAATATCTCATTCACCCATTATCCGTTTTGAGCGCACAATATATCAATCTCTTCGTCTCACTACGAAGTACCCGAATCCACTTTGACCCGACCCAAATCGGAAGTGGACCCCACTGATAATTGTACCACAAAATAGCCACTTAACATGCCATTGTATGTCATTTTAAGCTATTTTTTCTAACATGTTATTCCATTCATGGCCTATTCCATGAACCAAACATGCCATAAGTCTATTAATTTTGGAGTTAATATCTAATTTGGTCTCTCGACTATTAAGATTTCATCAATTTGATCTTCAATTATCAAAAATTTTCAATTTAGTTCTTAATTATGTAATTTTTACTTAAAATGGTCTCTCGTCTATTAAAATTTCACCACTTTGATCCTCGACTACTAAAGTTACTCAATTTATTTCCTAACTATGCAAGTTTGACCTAAAATGATCTATTGATTATTAGGATTTCACCACTTTGATCCTCGACTATCAAAGTTATTCAATTTATTAGTCTCCAACTATGTAAATGTTAACCTAAAATGTAAGTTTAGTGTGGACTTGGGGACTTTTTTAGAGAGCCGAGGACCAAAATGGTGAAATCTTAATAGTTAAGGACCAAAGTAGTAAAATCCTATAGTTGAGGGACCATTTTAGATAAAAATTGCATAGTTAAGAACAAATTGCATTTTTGATCCTGTGACTATTAGGAAACTGATAATTTGAGTACGTGACTTTCAAAACTCTCAATTTAAACATTTAACTATGTAATTATTAGCAGATTTGGTCTTGCCGGTCAAATTGCCGGCCAATTTCGACCGAAAAAATTAAAACTATTTTTAATTATTTAATTATGAGGACAATTTGGTCATTTTAGAGTCTTCTTCTTCACTGAGCCGGCGAAGAAGCTGAGCGGAGACATTGTACACCAAATGGTAGGAGTAAAGTATTTCTCCCGACAACATTTGACGACACACTTTTCCGGAAATGCCATACAATTCCAATTCGCCGCCGTTAAAGTTGTGGATGATGACGATGGAGGAAAAGGAGTTGAAAGGGTTTCCACCATTTCTGCAGGAATTTTTTGCTTTTATTTCTTTGTTTAAAGCAAGCAGAGACAGTGTGTGTTTGTTTATAACTTTATCCTATCTAGTAGCTTTTCCAATTGACACAAATATTTCTATTGGTTTACATTAGTTTCAAAGCTTTTCATAATTGTTACGGAGCTTAATTGAAACTTCTTCCTTCTTCGAGGAACTTACCTGAAAACAGGAATATCCAAGAGCTTATGAGGTATGAGCCCTGAAAACAGGTTATTTTCTATGTTTCTGGAGGGATGCATGGAAGAATAAGAAAAAAGTTAGATGAATACTCAAATGGTTGTTTAGAAATAAACATGTAACCGAAAGAAATATAGTTCAGAAGACTACAAATCTCTGAGTGGAAGATTTTGTAAAACATCAAGGGTTCCAGAAAGCTGATTCTGCAAATGGCTGGTGATCAAGAAGTTAGCTTTATGACCAATAATCGATTGAATCAAACTGAAACATTGAAACTTCAATACTCACAGAGACATGAAGTTAGCTTCTTCGCCTGCTCAGTGAAGAAGAAGACTCTAAAATGATCAAATTGTCCTCATAATTAAATAATTACAAATAGTTTTAATTTTTCCGGCCAAAATTGTCCGGCAGGACCAAAAGTGCAATTTGTTTCATAGTTAATTAGGAATTAAATTAAACAATTTTGGTAGTTGATGACCAAAGTGGTGAAATCATCAAGGAATCATTTTAAGTAAAAATTACATAGTTAGGGACTAAATTGAGCAACTTTGATAGTCGAGAACTAAATTGATGAAATCCTACTAGTCGAGATACCAAATTGGTGAAATCCTACTAACAAATGAAAAGCCAATTATAATATAATGTAATTGTTTGAAATCCTACTAGTCGAAAATTATAATGTACTACTAGTCAAATCCTAGAGTATTTTCCTTTTCAAACAACAAATAATTCGGCTATGAAGTTGGTCACAGTGGTGAAGTTTGGGAAGAATGATCAGAGATTGAGTTTCACCAGTGGCACTGTGGAGCAACCTCTCAAAGTGAGAGGGGCTCCTTACAGTAAGCAAAGATCTAGTCTCAGTGACTCTGTGTTCAACTGAGTTATCATGATTTACATCCTCCCAGATACATTGCTAGATCGGGGTGTGGGGGGACCTTGGGGCTGGGGATTCAACTTTTTGGGAAAAACATTTTGATTTCAAGATACATGCAGTGATGCTTCCTAATTTTTTTTTCAAGAAACTAAAGACTAACTAATATATTACCAAAAAAAAAAAAAAAAACTTTTTATGTATTAATAATGAAACGTGAATAGAAAAATTAAATCATATGAGGAGATATTATTCTGATGCTATATTTTTTTTACTAATATAAGGTATGCAATATAACTTGCTTATATTTTTTTCTTACTGAGAAAGATGTATAATAATAATTTATTTTTTTCATACAAAATAATGCCAAAATCAATCAAATGGTTGGTTAAAGTAATATAATACTGTAACTAGTAGTTGCACTCGTGCGATGCACGGCCATATGTATAGTTTAGGGAATAAACAGTATGTACTAAAGCTTAAGAAATGTGTAAAAAAATAAATTCCGAACATGATGAAAATTGATTAAACATTGTTGAAGACTTCTTTGTACACAACATTTGCTGTCTTACTAAGACATGTTACATCTTCTCCGCAAATCAAAACTTTTAAACCCGTAGGGTTACTGACTCTTGAAACAGCTACGTACATTTGACCATGGTTAAAGACTGGTCTTTTTAAATACAATCCCACTCTTGAGAGCGTTTGTCCTTGACTTTTATTTATTGTCATGGCATAGGATAGCATCAAAGGAAATTGCTTTCGTTGGAATTTGAAAGGCAATCTTGGATCTGACGGTGTTAGTGACATCCTTGGAATCAAAACTGTAGTACCTGCATTTGTACCCCCCATTATTTTTGCCTCCAACACGTGATCAGCTAATCTTGTTACAATCAATCTTGTACCATTGCACAAGCCAAGAGTGTGATCAATATTTCTCAAGAGCATAACAGGTGACCCAATTTTCAAAGTCAATGCATGATTAGGTACACCAGAACATCGCAGACCATTTAAGAATTCTGGAGTGTGCAATTCCGCTAACATATCTGCATTAGAATCGGACTTGCAAACCGAATCACAACTCAAATAAGTCCTAGCTTCACTTGGATTTTGATCATTCATGTATTGGTTAATGATATCTACCATATCCAATGTTGGTGCCAATATGGCACTATCCTCAAGGTATGATAAATCACCATTAACGCTTCTAAACAACGGGAAAATGCTATCAACAATTGTAGAGATAGTATCACCTTCACATTTAAGTAGAAACTTATCTGGAATTGTTAACTCTGCATCACCATCCGTTGAATTTCCAATTTTCCCGTCACCTATATCTGCTATCCAGTTTGCAAACTCCTCAATCTCTTTGGCCTCTATTTGTGATTTTACACGTCTTAGGCGTAGATTTTTTGTTAGCCTAAATACTTTGCATGATCTCCAAAGGTATGATGAATTTATGCTCGATCCAACAATATCTTGCCGTGTGCCCTTTGGAATAACTGGAAGAATTTGTCTAAAATCGCCACCCAAAACAACTGTTTTACCACCAAATGTCATCTCACAGCTTCTTGGATTTGTGGAGCGCAATAAATCACGCATAGTTCGGTCTAGGGCTTCAAAGCAGAACTTGTGCATCATTGGAGCTTCATCCCATATTATCAACTTGCTTTGCATAATAAGCTCAGCCAACGGGGTGCCTTGTTTTATGTTGCAAGTGGAATCTTCATTAACAGATATAGGTATTGCGAACCTAGAATGTGTTGTACGACCACCTGGTAGCAGAAGAGAAGCTATGCCGCTAGATGCAACATTTAGAACAATTTCACCCTTCCGTCTTAAAGCGGATGAAAGTGCTCTCCACAAGAATGTCTTACCAGTACCATCATATCCATAAACGAAGAAAAATCCACCAGATTTGCTCTCAATATCTGTTAACACTTCCTCGTATATTACCTTTTGCTCATCTGTCAGTTGACTAACCAAATCGTTATTCTCTTTCTCCTGAGTAACACGATCATATGTCAATTCTTCTTGTATCAACCTATTTGATAGTAAACTATATGTCTCCCAATCTGCAACTGGCATTTCTGGAAAGTCCTTAAGACTCAAGAAACTAAAGACTAACTAATATATTACCAAAAAAAAAAAAACTTTTTATGTATTAATAATGAAACGTGAATAGAAAAATTAAATCATATGAGGAGATATTATTCTGATGCTATATTTTTTTACTAATATAAGGTATGCAATATAACTTGCTTATATTTTTTTCTTACTGAGAAAGATGTATAATAATAATTTATTTTTTTCATACAAAATAATGCCAAAATCAATCAAATGGTTGGTTAAAGTAATATAATACTGTAATAGTATTAATTAAAAAAGGTTAAATACAAAAATATGAAATAAAAGATGATTTTCAAGATTCTAAGACTTATGTTATAATATAATTATAAGTCTTAATTTAAGTTACCTGTAGTCTAAATTTAAGCTACCTATATATATGTTTAGAATTTCGTTTTTTTATTTTGTAATTCTAAAAATGTCTTAAAATTACAATAAATTTATGTAGTTCATAAATGATTTAATTAAACAATTATCATATCTTTAGCTTGTTTTTTTAGTGCATGTGTCGGCTATGACCAATGCCCCACTAGCTAAATAGGTGTAAGAAAGAAAAAGCTACCTGAAAAAAATGCAAGGGATTTCACTCGACGAATTGCGTTTTGCCAGATCTATTTTTTTAGAAAGACGACTAACTCCTATATTCTAGAACAACTCTTTGTCCTCTCAAGCGCCGAGGGCTTAGGGCAAGGGTTGCAGGGAAGGAACGTTTCCCCCTTGCTTTGCTTTCCCCTCAGCATGAATCCCCCGAGGGGAAAGCGAAGCATGGGGGTAACGAGTAAAGGCTTCCGTAGGAAGTCCGAAAAAAGAAAAGAAAAAATGTCCCTGTCCGAATGCCCGTCTCTTTAGAGTTATTTAACTCCCGAATTCTAAAGTAGACCGTAGCTTGCTGCTGAAAAACGTAATAGGCTAGCGCGGCTCGCTTCGCTCTTCAAGCTCCGCCCCCTTACTCAACCTCAACATCTATAAAAAATAAAAAACCCTTGATTTAGAATAAGGTAAGTTTTGAAGCTGTAGCTTGCTGGTTTTTCCATCATCCAATCCATAACAAATTGAATGGGAAATATGAAATGCCTTTCTGGTATCTATATCTATTCCCCGAACCCGTCTTTCAACAGATACAAACTAAGCCAAGGAAACCGAACCAGCTCCAAGCCTAAGAGGCTTAGACCGCTACCCCCTTCGACTAACATTATTCCCCCAGGAACAGAGTCTCTAGCACCCTTGTCTTCCTAGGCTAAGAGTGCTTACGTACTTGTAAGTTCGTTCAATTCACACTGGCAGTGTGATTTGGGGAGAGCGGAATATTGTTTTTTTTTTTTTTTTTTTGTCAATTTTATGGAGTTCCTGAGAAGGGCTTTTCTATTTATTCAAGAATTTTTTTTTTTTGTCACGATCAAGTCGCAGTATAAGTAAGTTTGTACTTTCAAGTAGTTGTTTTTTTTTTTTTTTTTTTTGGTGCTAGACCAAAAAAAAAACAAACAGAATGAATTGGGGACGCCCTTTTATGGGAAAGCAAGAGCAACCTCTGTTTTTAACAACAACAACAACAACAACAACAACAATAATAATAATAATAATTATTATTATTATTATTATATACAATTATTATTATTTTTTACTTACTTTATTTTTAAGTTTTTCTTTTTCAATAAAACTGTAAGTATAAAAAATATATTAAGCTCATTTAAAAAAAAAAAACAAATCTTTTTTTTTTCAGTAAACAATAAAGGAATAAGGGTCAAATAGGCCATCGAACTGCACACGATAATGCGATTAGGCCACTGAACCTAAAAAACCAACAATTAGGTCCCTAAACTAACCAATTTCAAACAATTCTTCCAATTTCAAGATTTCCAACAGGTCAACAGGTCATCCTATCAAATTAATTATTTAAAAAAAAAAATTTAAAATAATTATTTTTAAATTAAAAAAAAAAAAAAAACAGACTCCGGCCGGAGACGACCGTCTCCGGCCAGTTTCTTCGTCTCCATGGCCGGAGACGAAGAAACCCTTCGTCTCCACTGGAATATGTCAATTATCAATATCACCCCTGAATTATGAGTGATGTAAATGTTGCCCCTCAATTATTAAAACAGTGCACATATAGCCCCTTCCGTAACTGACATGTGGTTCCCCGTTAGTGTACGACACCGTTAAGTCGAAGTAAATATGTAATTTAGTTATTTTTTCCCTCCCTCGATTCGAAGTACCAACAATGGACATCGGTGGAGAACCACAGGTCCGTTACAAGAGGGGCTATATGTGCACCATTTTGATAATTCAGGGGCAACATTTACACCACTCATAATTCAGGGGTGACATTGATAATTGACATATTATAGAGGGGCATTTTTTACAATTTTCCTTTTTTTTTTAATTTAAAAATAATTATTTTTTAAAATTTGTTTTTTTAAAAAATAATTAATTTGGAAGGATGACCTGTTGACCTGTTAAGAACCTTCAAATTGAAAGAATTGTTTGAAATTGGTTAGTTTAGAGACCCAATTGTTGGTTTTTTAGGTTTAGTGGCCTAATTAAATTATTGTGTGCAGTTGAATGACCTATTTGACCTTTATTCCAACAATAAATTGATTTATAACTTAAAATGTTTGTTTAATAAATAATTTGGTAATGTAAAAAAAATGTATAACTCAGAACTAAATAAATCATTTGTGATATTTTGAGTACTACTGACCAACCTATTGAAGCACAAATAGTTAATACCGTCTCACCGGGGATCAAACTCATTACCTTCCATTTGAGAGAGTCACTTCGTGCCACTAAACCACACGGTCATTGCAATAGTTATTGAATGTTTCGTGGTCCACATAGCTCTGTGGGCCACAGTTAAAAAACGACGTCGTTTTGTTTAATTCTATTTTTTCGCACGCCCAGCTACAACATACATTTTTATAACTTATAATGTACATTATTCTAAAACATAATGTACATTATTCAAAGGCATAATGTGCATTGTGTTACCACAGATGTTTTATTATTCTAAACACGTAACGTACATTATTCTAACATATAATGTACATTATTTTTACTCATAATATTTACGACGATGTTTTGGACTATGATCCACACAATAATTTGCCCGCCGGTCATTGACAATCATTTGTGGTATTTAAATTTCTAATTATTGTAATTATTATGATATATATATATATATATATATATATATATATATATATATATATATATATATATATGTGCACAACATCTTCGTGGGAGAAGAAAAATATCAAGTGGCCCGCATGAGCAGCTCAATTAGTCATAGGGGGTGAAGTTCGGGAAGAATGACCAGAATTCAAGTCTCACCAGCGACACTGTAAAAACAATCTCTCAAATCCTCCGAAATGGTCTGTCGAGCCAGGAAGCAGCAATTTAGATGGCGATCTGTGAACTCTGCCTCCCATTTGTTAGTTAGGAATGTCGCTTGGGCTACTGCGCTCCCCTCTTTTGTGTAGTGTTTCTATTATTATTTTTTTTTAAATGACCTATTGCAGATACATTAAATGATCTAGTGCAAATATCCCGTATCAGCATTCAACATCAATACATATTGGAATATGGAGAGTCCTACAAAGAAATTAATATAATTTCAATTAACAAGTAATAAATTTTAATTACAACGGTTATTGAGTACACATTGGATTGGATAACTAAACGTTTTCAAAAGTACATAATATTAAGCTCCTGTCTCTCTCTTCGTCAATTGCATAGCCTCTCGCCCTCTCACTCCCCTGCTCGCCCCTTTCTCTCCCGCTTTCATCACTTCTATACTTTCACCTTCTATCTCAAATGGCTACAAAGTGCGATTCAAGTAGGGATGTAATAAGTGAACTGCCAACAGACGTTAAGGAAAGAATTTTGGCGAGGTTACCCACTCGACAAGCTGCAAGAACTGCTATACTCTCGACTGGGTGGAGGGACGTTTGGTTGGGGCTGGGGCAGATTGTGGTTGATTCGGACTTGTTACAGTGTGTCCGAAGATGCGAAGGTGATAGAAGCGTAGCTTTTGTGAACATGATAAATGATATTCTCTTGTGCCATCCTGGACCTGTTAAGAAATTTACTCTATGCCCTTACTTATCAGGTTTTAAGCTGAAACAGTCTGATTTTGATCGATGGTTACTATTTCTGTCAAGAAATGGTATTCAGGAACTTAAAATCTTCCCATCTGGGTTGGATGATCAATCCAAATATAAGTTGCCATATTGTATAGTCTCGTGTCTGACAATTACGCAATTGACATTGGGCTATATCATTTTTAATTTGCCAATAAAAGCCTGTTGTATATTCTCCGGTCTCACCACATTAGTTTTTGTGGATGTTAAATTTAGTTCTAAACTTAATGGTATTGTCTACAACATTCCTAATCTTGAGAAGCTGGGATTCTTTCATTGTTTAGGGATTAGTAATTTTGATATCAGAGTTCCAAAACTTGAAAGCTTGTCTATTATTAGTTGTATACATGTGGCCGAATTGAGATGGTTTGCATTTCATTTGAAAGCAATTAAGACTCTTTGCTTGGGTGACTTCTTGTTGGTAAGAATCCCTACTTTTCCATTCTCTTTTTTGTAAGGGTTTTGTCCCACGACTGATTTTTTTTTTTTTAATTAAGGAGGAAGATTTTGTATTAACCGCATCCACGTTTCCAACTGCAATAAATCTACAAGTAATCAAGCTATGTAATTTGGATTTTGCTAGCGCGAAGCAGTTTACTATTGCTTTGCAATTGCTTAAAAATTCCACCAACCTATGTGAGCTGGAGGTTAAAGCATCATATTGGGTAAGAAATTGATCATATGAAGTATATACTTTTGGGGGGGAGTACATATTTTCTTAATTTCCTTATGCTTATTCTTTTCATTTTGATCTTGTTTGAGTTGTAGACATTTTTATCTGATGGCATAAGACTTCCGGAGGATTGCGGTTGTATTATTGATCAAGATCTAAAGATGCTTCACACACTAAAGATTGAATCATTTACGGGATCCACAGTGGAAATGTTTTTTGTGAAAATGTTGCTCTTTAAATCCCCTGTCTTAGAAAAAGTTGTTATTCAAGGATCAAATGATCTCAATCCCTCCATGGCTCTCAAAATTTCAAAAGAGTTGTTGCGTTTTCCTCGTGCATCTCCAAAAGCAGAAGTTGTCTACATGGACTATCACCTTGGGTATGGAGTACGTGATTGGCTCCATTGCATGGTTTAAAGAAGAAATGTAATCAATGGTGCGTTGTGCCGGATGGTAATAAACTTTTTTAAGATAGGGATCGATGATATGTTATTTTGATAAGCAGTAGACTTGAAGAGTATAATGTCTCGCTTCAATTATAACTACTAGATTTATTTCAGATGATGTTGATGTTGATAGTGTGATGGGTATAATAGGTGTTTTCTTAGTTCTTATTGCATTAATATAGTTTCTTTATTTTGATTTTGGTGTTCGATTTAACCTACTTCATATAAGTACCCCATTGTACATATAGTTTGGTGAATTGAAGTTCATATTTGAAAAAAAAAAAATCTTCAAAGAAATTCTTTTAGAGGTGTATTCAAAGTTTATTAAAATTTATCATTTTAGAAGTCTTTAAATATCTACAAAAATCATGATTCAAATCATTCAATACACCTCTTAGTTTTTACTTTGTCTAGATTTTTTTTTTTTTTTGAATTTGACAAGAAACTATTTTATGAAAGTATTTTAGCCTTTAGATAATAAATATAAATATTGTTATATTTATAGGGAATTTTTCTGGGCATCCTAATACAATAAAGACGTTTTTTTTTAATCGCTTGAAGGAGTAAATTATTTTTTTTTAAAAAAAAAAATGATATTTCTCTCTTATTGAGGTTAATGTTTTTAGTGTAAGACTTTCCCATACGAGGTTTAGTTATGTGATGCAAGTGGACTAGGGTCATTAAGTAATTGGTTGGACTGGACATTAGGTTAAGTTTATATTTCACCAATATGCCTATAGAAAGCGGCAATTTATATCGTTCACTAGGGCGCGCATTGCATTGTGCGCTCCGATGCAAAACAACGTCGTTTCATATATATATATATATATATATATATATATATATATATATATATATATATATATATATATATATATATATTTTTTTTTTTTTTTTTTTTTTTTTTTTTTAAAATTTCGCTACCCTGTGTTGACAGTTAATTTTCTTTTTAAAAAAGATTTAATGTTCAAAAATGTACATAATTTTATACTAGAATACACATAATTGTATACATGAATGTACATAATTGTATAACAAAATACACATACTTTTTTTTAAAAAAAATATAGTACACATAATCTAACATAATACATAATACACATAAACTTTTAACATAAAACACATAAACATTTAACATAATACACATAAATTTTCTGTTTCGGATGTACATAATTGTATAAAAAAATGTACATAATTGTATAAACAAATATTCATAATTGTATAAACAAATACACATAATCATGTCAACTCCCTACATAACTTACCTAAACGGCGTCGTTTTAAGAGGCGGACGCACAGTGCTATGTGTGCCGTGGTGCTGGGTATAACGATTGATAGAAAGCTTGCATTGATGGGTTAATAATATTAATATATGAAAAATCCAAGCATGCTATGTATATTCATAAATTATTTTATTATAATTATACATTTAGAAAAGCATGTTTTAAGAATGGATTTACCATATTATTAATTCATAGACTATATATTAAATGTCATTCAATTTTGGATCCTTAGGTCAATATATGATATTATGGTCTGTTAAGACGGTTTGTTTGGTTTCTCATTTAATTTTGAGCATATTTGAGTCCTATATCTCTTTTGGAGCTCTAAAACATATTTTGAACAAGCTATACGGGACATATCTTGAGTCATTAAAGTATGGATCCCACAATTATTGAGTGATATTTTAATAATAATTATAGCTATTTTATTTTGACTTATAACATGTTTATTATGATAATAAAATTGATTGTTATGCATAACATGTTCACTAAGTCTTAATTATTACTGACTACCATATTTTGTTAATGGTATTCATTGTTCGTAATAATATTATGTTGGGATATATTTCAATACTAAACCATCTTATATCCATGTCATAATTCACTTGGCCCATTGAGATTTATGGGTCTGATTTGAGGATTATAGTTGTTGTTTTGGCCATTAAGAATTATAACTATTGTTTAAGTTGATTACGTTTTTAATCTATCAATAGTTTTCGGGCCTTAATAATAATACTAATTCCTTTAATAATATAGTAAGCAATATAGTTGATATATTGCTTTTACAATGGTAATTTGATTATTACTATAATTTTAGTCACCCTAAAAGACATTATAGTCTTGGTTAATTATTATGTGGTAATATGAAATTGGTATCCGGTATCCCCTTATTTACAATTTTGCATTTTATTATAGATAATAAATGTCATTATTAATTACTGTTATTACGTTTAGGGGCTAATCTCGTTTATTGCCTTTAACAATAATTATTATTGCTTGGTAATCTATTATGTTTGGAAAGATTACATATTTGGTGATTATTGTTACGTGACGTTGCATTGAGGTTACTGACAGTGAAGATGAGAGAATTTTAGCACTATGGGAGATGCGATTTGAATCATTAAATTAAGTCATTAAGTTTTATCATTATTTTTTTTTAATTAGTGCTACAATTATATTTTGATTGCTATATTTTGAAATTGCCACATTTTATTTCTTTATATTAAGAAAAATGGAAACATTAAGAAGGTGTATTACCATAGTTTAGTTGTTATTATTAAATGTTAATGGTGATTATAAAGTTACTTATTACCATTAATACTTTAATGATAACATTATTATGGTTTTATTTATAAATCTTGAACTGTTTCCATTTGTGTTAATGTGGCAATGCTTCAGATAAGATTTTTTTTTTTTTTTTTAAAAGGCAACTGACTATTGTCATTAATGTACATTTATTCCATAATTCATTCATTCAGTCTTAGAAATCATACAGTGTACTCTTTTGTACAAATTGGATGATTTTCTCTCTTAAGTTACGCATATATATTTTAGGGATAAAGTACAAATAAGCCATTGAACTATTTGGGAAAGAGCAATTAAGCCATCGAACTTAAATAACCTCAAATAAGCCACCCACTTTTAACAGGTTACCTTCCCACTTTTGCTGACTGGGTTGCCACATATTTATTTTATTTTATTTTTCATTATTATATTATAATATACATGAATTAATTTTAAACAAATTTTCAAATTAAACATCCAACACTAAATTATCTCTCACTAATCCAGGTAGATTATAATACAAGTCACCCGCATGGGCGTAGCTTAATGGTTTAGTGGGCAGTATTTGGGGTAAGAGACCAAGGTTTGAACCTCGGCAGCGGCAGTGTGGGAATTATGTCCAAAGTGGGCAGATTCCTTGTGCGCACCGGCATTTGGCCCTACCTACTAACCCATTGAGTCACCGTGATTTACATCCTCCCACAAGCTCTGTCGGGTCGGAGGTGGGGGGCCCTTAGGGCTGGGGATTCAGTCTTTTGGGGTAAGATTATAATACAAGTCACAGAAAAACTCTTGGAATCACAAACGCAAAAGCTACAAACAACCCCAAAGACATCTGCTTATAATAGATCACCATCAGCTTTCCCAGATTCAAGCCTAATGAAAATCAATGTCTGCCCTCCATTGTAGTGGGGAACACCTCACCCTAGAAACCAAAAAAAAAAGAAGTCAAAAATTGAAACCAAACATCATGTACATTCACACTGAATACCACTCAAATAACCAACCTACATTTCTTTTGTCCCAGTTTTCTTCCCCCAACTTATTTTCCCTTTTGGAAAAACTTACTCCTTACGATCTGTTCTACTAAACACTCCAACAATTCACCCATTTCACATCAAACATAAAAAAGATGCACAGTAAACTATGAATGCTCAATAGAAATCGATGAGTCTAGTAACAAACTCCAAAATCTTAACCTTGCAACTTGTTGAACAGAAACTCGAACCGCCGGACAATTCGATGCCTCTGAAATGAAGAAGAACGAAGCTTCAGTTGATTGGAAGTTCAAAGTGCGATTAAGATGCAGCAGTACAAGCCTGAGAACAGAGTAAACAATGGAATGTCGGAAGTATCGAAGAACGAGATTTTCCTCTCCCTAAAGAACCCAAACTTGATGTTGTTGTAGAAGGGATACATGCGATTAGGGAGAGATAATTTAGGGTTGGATATTTAATTTGAAAATTTGCTTAGAATTAATGCATGTAGATTATAATATAATAATGAAAAATAAAATAAAATAAATATGTGGCAACCCAGTCAGTAAAAGTGGGAAGATAACCTGTTAAAAATGTAATTGCTCTTTTTTTTTTTCCAAGTTCAATGACTTATTTGGGGGTTATTTGAGTTCGATAACTTAATTGCTCTTTCCCAAATAGTTCAGTGGCTTATTTGTACTTTATCCCTATATTTTATTTTTAGAAACATCCATTAAGGTACCAAGAAGGCAAGAATAAACATTGAGTTTGTTCATAAAGAATTTTAAGTTGGGGAATCAAAATGCATGCATGTGATCATAGAAGATATTACTCACTTATTCAGTAGAGGATATAATACTATGATTCGTGTGTTTTGTTCTTTGATGAGAATTGTGCTACTACTTGCACCAAGTGGGAGATTGTAAGACTTTCCCATGCGGGCCTTATTTATGTGGTGCAAGTGGACTAGACCCATTAAGTAATTGGTTGGAGTGGACATTAGGTTAAGTCTATATTCCACCAATATGCCTATATAAAGCCTGTATTGATGGGATACATGACATATTCATTATAACACTAAAGTTATGGTACTCATACTGCTCATAAAATACCAATACACCATCTAGGGTTTTGAGTCAAGTGTGAGACAAAATGGCAAACACCCTGCAGGTCTACCGTTCAAGAGACAACACAACAGGATATCAACTATGACTGGAGATCTACACGCTTTCACTTCCGCTACTACGAGTTAGGTTTCTCGATTATACTCTGTACAGTTAGATCATATTTAGATCTCATATTTAGTTCATGTCATTCGACACGAGCAAGCAAGCAACACGAGAGCAGGATAAGCATGGTGATAAGGACCTTAATTATTAAGAGCCAGGATTACAATATTGCATTAAAAGGAGCCCCAAGGCTCCAATTTATACATCAAGCTTGCTTATCCATTGATGGGCAAGAAGTGAGCCAACTAAACTCGCTCTGGTCATTCAAGGAGTCGAAATGTTTCCACAGTAAACGTTTTTTGTTTTTTTTGTTTTTTTTTTTGTTTTTTTTAATATATGAGTGTTTTTGGGAAATCATTCTTCAAAATGCTAAGTGAAAACATTGTAAATTGTAATGTTTGTATTTTAAGTAGTTTGAAACAAAATTGTTGCTCCAAAGTCCAAACTGTTGAATAACCAAACATTTTCTTCAGTAACATCATATTTACCAATCGTTCAAAAAAATTTACTTCCACATGAAACATGTAGGGAAAAAACTACCAATGTAAAATATCAACATGCGCTTGCAAGATCAAGAGTTCATAGTACAACTAAAAACAACAGTAACCCAATAGAGGACAAACAGTGAAGATGATGAAGAATTGAAGACAATGACAATGCTACTCAAAATAGAATTAAGAATACTTAGAAAAACTGAAACCAAACATAGTATTTATTTAGACTACCATTTTTAGACTAAGTAGTTAGACTATCAATTTTATAAAGTTGCAAACATTTATTTTAGTGACAATTATAATGAATCTCCTATATTATCTTGTAGTGACAACTCGACATACATTCAATACTTATGTATGAACTTCTCATATATAATATTGGGCAGAAGGGTCAAATAGGCTCATGTACTAACACTGATTGTTCATCTAGCCCCACGAATTAAAATATGGTCCATTTGAGCTATTATACTCACAATTATTTTTCATCTAGCATTTTTAGCAAGTTTCTAACAAGTAAACCATCTAATTTTCTTACATGGAAAAATAAAATAAAAATAAAATGCTGACATGTTATTTTTTTCATCCAACTTGCTGTTTTTGTCATTTTTTTTTCTGCAGAAAAATTCAATTTTTTTTATGTAGTTCCGGAATATGTTGATTTTTGATATGACTTGAAAGATTCCAACTCCTGCTCTATTGCGAGTTTTGAGTGTGAAACACGTAGATGTATTCTAAGTGGAATGCATCCATGCTGTTGTTACCATAAATTTGCCTTGCAAAATGTATATTTTTGACGTGGATGGGTACCCCATCGCCTTCAGAAACATGGCCGCTTCCATCGGGGACGTATGACAATCTCCTTTCTTCGCTGTCTATCTCTTTTTTGTTCCAGTGATGCAGATTATATCTCATAACACGAAGTTCCTTAGCATCTACTTCAGTCAGATTGTGGCTGCAGCCAGTAAATGCAAGCATGTCCTTTTCGTATCTACACGCAAAGGAAGTCTGTTAATTAAGTTACACCTCAAACATTATATCAAAAGTCGTGGTAGTTATTATACCTCAAATGATGAGCAATATACATATCATTGTTGTCCCTTAGTCTATTAACTAGCTCTTTTCCAAGCTCCTCAATCTTAGGTATGTACCAAATAGTCTCATAAACGTGTCATCCAAAATCAAAATAAAAATCAATGCCAGTGCCAATAAATAGGTTCAGAAACCACAAAATACGGTAACATACTTATTTCAAAACCGATGGAAAAATAGATTCACTATTTTCTGAAAAATATATAGAAGAAATTAACATAATCTGGAAATACGTAAACAAAATTGATTTTTTCTGCAGAAAAAAGCGACTAAAACAACAAGTTAGATGAAAAAAAAAAAAAACATGTCAGCATGTTGTTTTTTTTTTTTTTCAGGTAAGCAATTAGATGAGTTACTTGTTAGAAACTTGCTAAAAATGTTAGATGAAAAATAATTGGGAGTATAATAGTCTAGATGGACCATATTTTAATTCATGGTGCTATATGAACAATTAATGGTAGTACATGCACTGCTGGAAATTCGCGGTTTTCCGACCACCAAAAAGTGATCGGAAATAGCCAAAATCGGGTCGAAAACCCCTGTTCCGACCGATTTTTCAACCACTTTGGGTATCCGCAAAAACGCTTGTCGGAATTTCTAACCACTACAGATAGTGGTCGGAAATGTCGACACTCAAGTAAAAAAAATTAAAATTAATTTTAAAAAAATACATTTTGCTGCTCAATTCATTTATAATACATATTATCTAGTATATTATGGACATATTTGACCCTTCTTCCATAATATCTCTATAATTTCAAATACTTATTTAATTATAAACATTGGGCATTAACTCATATTCATGATTGGCATGTAAAACAAGTCATTAATATATACATCAAATACAGAGTTTTAGTATAGTTACAATACTAAAGAAGATGGAGATCGATGTATAATGGGAATTAAAGAAGTTGATTATATGGTGACAAATTAGGAATTTTAGGGGAGAAAGGATGGAGATATATACCACAATAATTAAGTATTCTTTAGTTTGGTAAGAATTAAGTATTCTTTATTAATTAGAATTATATTTTAACTAGAAATCACATCTCATTAAATAACTATCCTAAAAAGTACTCCGTAATTATCTTGATCTCTCCAAATAATTGAAATAATTAGCTCCGGTCTCTCTCTTCCGTCAATTGCATAATGCATAGCCTCTCGCCCTCTCCTTCTCCTCTGCTCGCCCCTTTCTCTGATCACCCACTAGAAGGTTAAATTCTAAACTTTCACCTTCTATCTCTAATGGCTACAAAGTGCAATTCAAGTAGGGATGTAATAAGTGAACTGCCAGCAGAGATTAAGGAAAGAATTTTGGAGAGGTTACCCACTCGAGACGCTGCAAGAACTGCTATACTCTCGACTGGGTGGAGGGATGTTTGGTTGGGGCAGGGGCGGATTGTGGTTGATTCAGACTTGTTACAGTGTGTCCAAAGACGCCAAGGTGATAAAACCATAGCTTTTGTGAACACGATAAATGACATTCTCATGCGCCAAGCTGGACCTATTAAGAAATTTACTCTATGCATTTACTCAGGTCTTCGGCTACAACAGTCTGATTTTGATCGATGGTTTCTATTTCTATCAAGAAATGGTATTCAGGAACTTAAAATCTTCCTAGCTGATTGGGACCTTGATGAATATAAATATAAGTTGCCATATTGTATACTCTCGTGCCCGACAATTAAGCAACTGAAATTGGGCTATTTCGTTTTTTATTTGCCAATAAAGGCTTATTTTATATTCTCCCGTCTCACCTCATTAGTTTTCGAGTCTGTTAAATTTAGTGATGAACTTAATGGAATTGTCTACAGAATTCCTAATCTTGAGAAGCTAGGATTCTATACATGTTTAGGGATTAGTAATTTTGGGATAAGAGTTCCAAAACTTGAAAGCTTGTCTATTATTAGTTGGGTTCAAGCGGCCGAATTCCAATGGTTTGCATTTCATTTGAAAGCAATTAAGACTCTTTGCTTGGGTCCCTTCTCCTTGGTAAGAATCTCTACTTTCACATTCTCTTTCTTGTAAGGGTTTTGTCTTTGTTTGTTTGTTTTTTTATTTTTATTTTTTTTGGTTAAGGGTGAAGATTTTGTATTAGCCGCACCAATGTTCCCAATCGCAATAAATCTACAAGTAATCAAGCTATATAGTTTGGATTTTGCTAGCGAAAAGCAGTTTACTGACGCTTTGCAATTGCTTAAAAATTCTCCCAATCTATGTGAACTGGAGATTATAGCATCATATTTGGTATCTGATGGCATTCCGGAGGATTGTGGTTGTATTATTGATCAAGATCTAAAGATGTTTCACACCCTGAAGATTGAACAGTTTATGGGATCCAAAGTGCAAATGTTTTTTGTGAAAATGTTGCTCTCTAAATCCCCTGCCTTAGAGAAAGTTGTTATTCAAGGAATAAATAATCTCAATCCCTCCATGACTCTCAAAATTTCAAGAGAGTTGTTGCGCTTTCCTCGTGCATCTCCAAAAGCAGAAGTTGTCTACATGGACAATAACCTTGGGTATGGAATGGTTGGCTCCCCAGACTTTTAGGAATTGAGAATATAGTGCAGCTCCATTGCATGGTTTAAAGTAGAAATGTAATCAATGGTAGTGAACTTTTGTAAGATAAGGATGATATGTTCGTTATTTTGCTAAGCAGTAGACTTGATGAATATAATGTCTCCCTTCAATTATAGCTACTAAATTTGTATTAGATGATGTTTATGCTGATAGTGTGATAGGTATAATAGGTGTCGTCTTAGTTCTTATTGCATTAATATAGTTTCTTTTATTTTGATTTTAGTGTTCGATTTAACCTACTTCATTTAAGTACCCCATTGTACATATAGTTGGATGAAGTTCATATTTGAAATAAAACTCTTCAAATAAATTCTTTTAGTTTTTACTTTGTCTAGAAATTTGTTTCAAATTTGACCAGAAACAATTTTATGAAGGTACTAGTTTTTTACGCGCATTGTGCGATTGAGATAATGCCCAATATTTTTTTTAATAAGTACTTTAAAGTATATCAAGGCAGGATTATATTAGTATTATTCATGCATAAATAATTGAATAGGTAATTCTAAGTTTACAAATGCAAGATAATATAGTCAAGATTGATTATAATTGTCAATAAAATAATTGTATAGGTATGGTTGAAACCAAATACGGGACATAAGGGAGAACAAATAAAAATTAGGGCATAAAATTTTAAATATATACTAATATTGAAGAGCTAATTGTTGATTGTCAAACAAGGACATTGCGGGGTAGTTTTCCACTTCAATTTGTTGTGTAATTTGAATACTCTTTTTGTAAATAAATCTCTCAAGTAGTTAATATGATTGGCTTAATTTTTTTTTATTTTTTAAAACAATTATTATTATTATTATTATTATTATTATTATTATTATTATTATTATTATTATTATTATTATTATTATTATTATTATTATGTATACCCTTAGGTCATTTTACATGTTAATCTAAAAAGCTAATTTTTTCAAATATCTTTTTACCCAGCGTTGATATAATTCGCTGGTCAAATAAGCTAATATAATCCGCTAACGCTAACCGCTAACACTACTGATTGTCAAACAAGAACATTACGAGATAGTTCTCACTTCAATTTGTTATGTAATTTGAATACTCTATTTGTCAACAAATTTCTCAAGTAGTTAATATTATTAACTTTATTAATTATATTTTTCTTAATTTTTTCATGGTATTAATAAAATACTTGATAAATAAATATAAAACATTATTTTGTATTATAACTTTGATATTTAATTAAAAAAATAGTGTACAAAAAAAGATAATAGACAATGTAGTGAATATAATCAATTGATGAATTTGAATGTAAAGAATTTTTAAATTGGAGAAAAATAAAGATAATATAATATAATAAAATTATTTCTCTTAATTAATTTATTGATAATGAATAATTTTTTTTTTAATAAAGACATTGTAGGGACAATGTAGCGAATATAATCAATTGATGAATTTGAATGTAAAGAATTTTTATATTGGAGAAAAATAAAGACAATATAACTAATGAAATTATTTCTCTTATTTAATTTATTGATAATAAATAAATTTTTTGAATAAAAACATTGTAGATACATAATTCTAAATTAAAGATCGAAATGCATATGTATTATTTATTGTTGTAACTACTAAATTATTATTTAATTTAATAAAAGTAAAATAAAGTATTAAATATGCCAACTTTGATTGGGATGGGGTTCGAACTTCGAACTTAAGACCTTTCTTATTGAAATCAATGAATAAGTTAACGGTGAACTAACAGAAATTAACGGAAAAGATAATATTTAACGGAAAAGTTAACGGAAAATCATATTCATTGAGGATAAATTAGTAAATATTAAGAAAAAATTAAAATCTGATCAATCTGAGCCATTCATTTGATTAAAATCTGTGACGGACACATTTTCTACCCATTTTAGGCCTAACTCTCTTGGGCTCTTATTAGTATATATATATATATATATAGTAGATAGTAGATTTTAGTCTTTAGATAATAAATATTGTTATATTTATAGAGATCATTTTTTATGGACATCCTAATACAATAAAGATTTTTTTTTTTGTTTTTTAAATAATATTTATTAATATATATATATATATATATATATATATATATATATATATATATATATTGAATACGGAGTTCCAATATAATTACAATTACAATACTAAAAAAGACGAAGAGGTAAGATGGAAATTAAAGAAAATAAAGAAGTTGATTATATGGTGACAAATTGGGAATTTTATGGGGAGGGAGGGAGATACATTAATAATTAAGTATTCAGCAAATACAAATTTTGGTCTCACGAGTATTAGCAAAATGACAGTTTTGGTCCACATGTTTAATTCTTACCAATTTTTATCAACCACTATTGTTTTAGTATCAATTTTCATCCACAAATATTGTTTTAGTGTCAAAATTCATCATGTCGGTCATCTTTTCGTTTAAGACATGCCGAAATATGAAATTATTAAGGGTATTTTCGTCATTTGCAATTAAGATCGATCCCAATTTGCAATTCTCCTCCTCAAATTAAGGTAGGATATAATGAGGAGGAGAATTGCGAATTGGGATCGATCTTAGTGCAGGGCGTGGCGGAGGCTGGAGTCTGAAGCAGTTCGCGGTGGCTTTGAAAGTGTTCTGCCGTTTGCGCAATTTGCCTTTGCCGTTCTAAAATCGCGAATAATCGCGATTATTTTTTATGGGGTTATTCGTCAAAACAACGTCTCTTTGGCGAATAACCTTAAAAAAAATCGATTTGCGACGGTTCAACCGGCTAGGCGGGCTAGGTGCTGCCTCGACCACCTAGGCAGCCGGCCGCCTAGCCAGCCACCTTGGCGGCTGGCCGCGAAAGAGGCAGATTTTGACATTCCTCGACACGATTAGACGCCGATTAATCGGGACTTAAGCGTAATTTTTACAACACTGCTAACAGCTAACAGTCAATTTACCAACCTGACTTAAAACACATATATATGATCATTGGATTGCTCATACTTTCCAGTTCCCAATTTAATGAATAAAGTAAAGTAAAAGAGATATACTTTACTTTATATGTACAGTATACTGAAACATATATGTGTGTGTGTTTACTTTACTCATTGGGAAGTCTGAGGAATCACAACTCAAGGAGATACCTTAATAATTAAGTATTATTTATTAATTAGAATTATATTTTGAACTAGAAATCTCAACTCATTAAATAAAAAAAAAAAAAAAAAAAACAATTTGCGACAGTTCGACCGGCTAGGCGGGCTAGGTGCCGCCTAGACGGTCGCCAAGCCAGCCACCTAGACGTCTGGCCGTAGAGGAGATCGATTTTGACGTTCTTCGACGCGATCGGACGATAATAAGCGTGATTTTTGCAACACTACTAAAAAATAATAGCCATTCACCAAGGGAAATTCTATTTACACCACCTATTTTGCTATTTGCACCACCTATTTAGTATGTCAAATAGCTTTATAGGTGGTGTAAATATAAATTTATTATTTACACCACCATCATTAAATGTGGTCAAAGATTATTATTTGTTTTTCAATTTTTTAAAATTTTTTTTTTTTAAAAAAAAGCAAATCAAACCACCCTCCCTCCCGTCACCTTCTCCAGTGAGAAGGCAAATGGGCTGCCTTCTCACCGGGGAAGGCAACCCAACGGGTTGTTAAAAAAAAAACAAAAAAATAATAACAATGAAGGAAACCATCGCCTTCTCCGGTGAGAAAGCTATGGACATATATGCCTTCTCACTGGAGAAGGCAACCCAGGGGTCGCCTTCTCACCGGAGAAGGCGACCCATGTAGCCTTCTCCGGTGAGAAGATAGCCAGTTGCCTTCTCCGGTGATTCTCACCGGAGAAGGCGGGATTTATTCTTTTTTTTTTCTTTTTTTTAATTTTAAATTAATTAATTAATATTTAAATATAATAAATGTGATTTAATTAAGGTGGTGCAAATAACATTTTGACCACTCATTAGGCTATTTCCACCCCTATGTATTTATTATAAGTTTTTAACTTTTTATATTTTCAATGTATTTTTTATCCCATTTTAATTAAAGGGGTACAAATAACAACACCCTTCACCAAATATGGCCATTCCTCATACTTCCCAGTTCCCAATATAATGAATAAAGTAAAGTAAAAGAGATATACTTTACTTTATATATAAAGTATACTGAAACATATGTGTGCGTGTTTACTGTACTTTATTCATTGGAATGTCTGAGGAATCACAACTCAAGGAGATACCTTAATACTTAAGTATATTCTTTATTAAATAGAATTATATTTGAACTAGAAATCACAACTCATTAAATTAAAAACAATTAAATAGTTAGCTCCTGTCTCTCTCCCTTCCGTCAATTGCATAGCCTCTCGCCCCTTTCTCTCCCTCTCTGATCACTTGTAAACTTTCACCATCTATCTCTAATGGCTACAAACTGCGATTCAAGTAGCGATGTAATAAGTGAACTGCCAGCAGACGTTAAGGAAATAATTTTGGAGAGGTTACCCACTCGAGACGCGGCAAGAACTGCTATACTCTCGACTCGGTGGAGGGATGTTTGGTCCGGGCAGGGGCGGATTGTGGTTGATTGGGACTTTTTACAGTGTGTCGAAAGATGCGAAGGTGATAAAAGCGCAGCTTTTGTGAACATGATAAATGACATTCTCTTGCGCCATGCTGGACCTGTTAAGAAATTTACTCTATGCCCTTTATCAGATCTTATGCTCCAACAGTCAGATTTAGATCGATGGTTGCTATTTCTATCAAGAAATGGTATTCAGGAACTTAAAATCTTTCTGAATTGTTGTGAACCTAATTATGAATATAAGTTGCCATATTGTATACTCTCGTGCCAGACAATTACGCAACTGATATTAGGCTATTTCAGTTTTTATTTGCCAATAAAGGCCTGTTCTATATTCTCCAATCTCACTTCATTAGTTTTCAACTTTGTTCAATTTAGTGATAAACTTAATGGAATTGTCTACACAATTCCTAATCTTGAGAAGGTGGAATTCTACATATGTTCAGGGATTAGTAATTTTGAGATCAGAGTTCCAAAACTTGAAACCTTATCTATTATTTTTTCTGCACAAGCGATCGAATTGCGATGGTTTGCATTTCATTTGAAAGCAATTAAGACTCTTTGCTTGAGTCAGTTCTTCTTGCAGGTAAGAATCTCTACTTTCATATTCTCTTTTTTAGCCTCTAAGGGTTTTGTCCTAAGGCTGATTTGTTTTTTTGTTTTTTTTTTTCTTTTGGTTAAGGGTGAAGATTTTGTATTAGCCGCACTAATGTTCCCAATAGCAATAAATCTACAAGTAATCAAGCTATATGCTTTGAATTTTGCTAACGAAAAGCAGTTCACTATCGCTTTGCAATTGCTTAAAAATTCCCCCAACCTATGTGAACTGGAGATTACAGCATCACATTTGGTAAGAAATTGATAATATGGAGTGTATAATTTCTTAATTTCCTTATGCATGTACTTGCTTTTCATTTCTTGTTTGATTTGTAGATATATTTATCTGATGGCGAAAGACTTCCGGAGGATTACGGTTGTATTATTGATCAAGATCTAAAGATGCTTCACACACTGAAGATTAAACGTTTTATGGGATCCGAATTGCAAATGTTTTTTGTGAAAATGTTGCTCTCTAAATCCCCTACCTTAGAGAAAGTTGTTATTCAAGGAACAGATGATCTCAATCCTTCCATGGCTCTCAAAATTTCAAGAGAGTTGTTGCGCTTTCCTCGTGCATCTCCAAAAGCACAAGTTGTCTACCTGGACTATAACCTTGGGTATGGAGTGGTTGGCTCCCCAGACTTTTAGGAATTGAGAATATAGTGCAGCTCCATTGCATGGTTTAAAGTAGAAATGTAATCAATGGTAGTGAACTTTTGTAAGATAAGGATGATATGTTCGTTATTTTGCTAAGCATATAATGTCTCCCTTCAATTGTAGCTACTAGATTTATATTTCAGATGATGTTGACGCTGATAGTGTGATAGGTTATATAATAGGTGTGTTCTTAGTTCGTATTGCATTAAATATAGTTTCTTTTATTTTTATTTTGGTGTTCAATTTAACCTACTTCATTTAAGTACCCATTGTACATATAGTTGGGTGAAGTTCATATTTGAAAAAAAAAAAAAAATCTTCAAAGAAATTCTTTTAGTTGTTACTTTGTCTAGAAATGTGTTTTTAGTTGTTACTTTGTCTAGAAATGTGTTTCAAATTTGTTGGCCAGAAACAATTTTATGAACGTAGTTTAGTCTTTAGATAATAAATATTGTTATATTTATAGAGAGAATTTTTTTTGGACATCGTAATACAATAAAGTTTTTTTTTTCTATTCACTTGAAGGAGTAAATTGTTTGTTTTTTTAACGGTCAACACACTAAGTGGTAGGCCAGGGGTCCATTCACATTGATGGAAATGGAACCCCCAATCTCAAGCTTAAGGGACAAGGTGCTGAACCACCACGCCAACTATGTTGGTTATATGCGTCTATGCATTATTTGCTCCTTTAAAATGATTAGATGAAATCTATCCTATATATAATAAAGCCATATGGTCTTGTGAAAATTAAATAGTGATAATCAACATTTAATTTTCACAAGACCATAATACTATTGTTAATTATAATAACAATAACAATAATAATAATAATTGCAATAATAATAATGATAATAATTTCCAATGACAGTTTCTTTTATATATATATATATATATTTCAATTTCTACTGGCAAATTATTGTGTGAACGATGGTCCACATAATTGTATGGATCATGAATATCAAATACATTTTTAATATATTAAAAATACATTATTTTTATATACATACATATATAATGTACCCTTAGTATATTTAAAATATACTTTTTTATTGCATGCAACCCCAAAGTTCATAAATTTGAAATTAATATATGGCATAGCTAGGCGGCCTAATATTTAAGATTATTTGATGTGCATATTGAGGACTACGGAGACAAAGATGCGTTATTCGTGGATTCATCGGATACTATCCAACAACACTCTCCAACTTATTGACGTGAAGTAGGCTTAGTAACATTAAGATTATATTCTCGAATTATTAGTCAGGGCTGGCCCAGAGGGGAGGGCAGAATGGGCACCCGCCCTGGGCCCAACTGTTGGGAGGGCCCCTAACTTTGTTTTTAGAATTTTTTTTTGATAAATTTAAAACAAATGTTTAATTGCATATGGAAATATTTGAATCCATTACTTCAACATTATTTATTAATTTTTAAATCTATTTAAAAATTACGACCATTTGATATATTTATCTTAGTTAATAGATATATATTAGTAAATGTTGAATTAATTTATGATTAGACTTCATATAGGGTCCCAAAGTTTGAATGGGCACTACTCCAAGACTATTATACAATTTTTTTTTAATATAAAAAATTATATATTTACAAAAATTCAAAATTATCATTTTGTTATTTTCAATTAACCCATACAACCTTTTATAAGACTTTTATACCATAAACTAGGGTGCACCTTACAAGGTGGATCCTGGTCCTAAACGACGTATAAATCAGACCCGGATTTTGGGTTGTGCAAGCTGGGCTACCGCACAGGGCCCCAAATTTTAGAGGGGTCCCAAATTTTAGAAGCTCAATATTTTATTTTTACCTAGTTAGTTTAGAAATAAAAATTAAAAGTTTTTAATTAAACTTAAAAGACTTTATAAAGAAATGGTAGGAACATGTATTTATTGTATTTTAACTTTGAGGTCTAAGGTTCAAAACTTGTGCACACTATTATTATTATTCCATAATATATCTATCTTTACTTGTGCGTTGCACGGAAAAGATTTGTTATAATCTTAAAATTATAACAACGAATATTATATAGTGCAATTGATGAAATAGGTTGTATCGATTATGTTTTTTTTTTTTATGTTATCCTTGCTTGAATTCGAGCAAATAATTACCCAATTATCCGTGCGATGTGCGTGCAGTGTGCGTGCGATGCACGAATAATTTTGTTGTTGTTATATATTTAGATAATAAAATTACGGTATTAATTTTATAGATTTTAATTTTGGTAGGGCCTTATTTATTTATCTGAACAGGACAACAAAAATCTAAAAACCGGCCCTGGTATAAATTATATATATTTAGTATTAGAATTGCGAACTTCTAGAATATAAATTGTGTTTATAAGTCAAAACACATAACAACTATAGAAGGAAATTTGTGAATAAAATACAAGGTTATCAAATCGTAATATGTTAATATTGTGTGATTGTAGTATTCGACAAAAATTTGTGAATACAAAATAAGATAATAAAGTACATATATATTAACATTATGTGTTCGTACTTCGTAGTATAAAAATTGTGAATTTTTAAAATGTAAATTGTGATCATTTGGACCCAGGTCTACCTTACAAGATAGATCTGAGCTGAGTCTACAAAATAATTTACTATCTTTTAACTTTATATATTAAGGGCCCTTATTTTTGTTTCGCCCTGGGCCTATAAAATGATAGGACCGGCCCTGTTATTAGTTCTCATCTTTTATTGATTACACACTTAATTCGATAGTATTTGGAAGAAAAAATCAATGTTCGAACTAAGATTGTGATTTTGATCTTTAAAGGTCAGTTGTATATTGCTACATCTAGAGTTAGAAATCTAAAAGGTCTAAAAATTTTGATCCGTGGTGACTCTAAAATTGTAATTCAATTACTATTGTAGTTTACTAAGTTCTAAAAAATTTGTAATATTAAATGCTATGTACTAAATTTTTAATATAGTTTAAGATTTGTAGTAATCACCCACCTTAAATATTATTTTAATTGTAAATATATTTATGTTCATAATTTTATCACAGGAATTCACACATAATAATTATTAAATAACAAAAATGTTATATATGAATAAACTTCACATAGGGTATATTTTTATAACATATTTTCCGTGCATTGCACGAGACAAATACTAGTTTGTATAAATACCATAGAATATATACACTGTAATAAAGGTCTGTATTTAGCTAATTTGAATACACAATGTTCTTGATTGGTTTGATTTCAAAATAATAATAATAATAATAATAATAATAATAAATAATAATAATAATCTATCTATCTATACATATATAAAAGCCACTAAATTTCAGCCAATCAGAAGGCTTCATTTTCCCGCCCAACTCAAACGATGGCGTTTTTGTTTTTTTTTTTTTAATCTTAGGGGCTAAGTTTTAGAACTTTCTGCTGTCTCCTATTTTTTCGCTGATTTGTTGACTTTTCTGCCAAGGTAACGTGTGGATGCTGATTCTTGGGAACAGGGCTTTGCTTATATATACACGTTATATGTACACACATTTGCTTATATATACACGTTATATAGGGTGCTATGGATTCTCATGCTTTGAGCAAGATGGTTGGCTTGCTCTCCCTCTTTTTTTCTCCTCCGCTCCTTTGTTCCTTCTTGGTGGGCTTTTTCCGGCGAGTCTATCCAGTTTGGATTCCTTGCTTGGAAATGGTGCCTAGGCTCATGGTTGCTGCTGTGGCAGTAATGTAGGTTGGACATTCTAAGTCCATGCACACATGCTGGAGCCGTGGTTGTCTGCTCAGGCATATGAGTCCCCTCCGACGTGAGACACACCATATTTAGGACGTTCTCCTTTTTGGACTCTTTTTGAACTAAATCCGTGCCTGGAGTTTGGACTGATATGGAGTTGGTTAATGGAGGCTTTTGTTCCACCATTTCACTCCGTTGTCTGCGATTTTTCCGACTGGTTTGGTTGGTCTTGGGTCCGTGGATTAGGGTGTAAGCAGAGGGGATGTTCTCTGCTTCTGGTCTGGCCCTGGCTTCCCACTCCGGTGTCATTTGCTTTGATGGTGGCTTGGTTGGTCTGTCTGGAATCAAGGATTCTGGTTCTGATGTTCTTTTGGTGGTCTATTTTTCCGGCAAACAACAAGCTTGATGGTGTTCCCCTTTTTTCAGATGCTTTCATTCTCACATTGACCGACGGAGAGCCCACCAACAATTAGTGAATACATATGAGGTTTCTGAAACAAAAACAAAAGGCCCAATCAAGATCAGAGGATGTGTATTTCACAATGCAAAGGTAAATAAAGAAATTTAGTAATTTTCAGTATTATTTGTGTTATATAATAATGTATAATGTTTTTGTTTGTCACAAACCAAAAACCTTGCTTATTATCCATAAGCATATACCTACAGAAAATGCTGAGAAATATGAAATCAATTCAAAAAGGAGAAGATTTATGGACTGAATAATTTCTTATGTATTAGGAACTACTTAAAATACAAAACAAGCAATCAGCTATATGGACAAGTTTAAGCATGCTACCATTGTCAACTGAAAAAAAAAAAATTATTTGAACTGAAAAAAATATATTTTCTAATTACAGGCTGCTTTTAAATGTTTTTTTTTTACAGTCACAAATAGCTTAAGTGCATTATGTGGGATGATAATGTTGACAAGGCTATATGTTCATATATCACTCTTCCTTTACTATCACAGATTATCAACATCTAATATAAACTACATCAAAGCAATATGAGGAAGCTAAAAGGATCATTTATCATTGGTGGCAAAAGAAAGCAAGCAGAGGAAGATTAATGTTAGTATTTGAAACGTACCTGTCATTGTCTCATAAAATATTTTAAAACAGAATTCTTACTTGCATTACCAGTAGTTATTTACGTTGTAGATAGATAATGTTTGAATGTATTTTATATTTGAGGTAAGCAAAAAAAGAGAAAAAAAAAAAACCTACTGGCAATTTTATACTATAAATGTTTTTAAATAATATAGGACATAAATTTGGTGGTTCTTAAAATTCAAATCCAATTTTCACATAAATATTGTATTTTAAAGCTTTAAAATTTTCCAGTGTTAATTTATTTTGTACATAACACTTTATATATTAAATAATAACCAGAAAATTAATTTCCTTTTTAAAAAAAGAAATCTTTCAAATTAAACAAATATCAAATAATTTAACAGCAATTTATTATACCACTTACAAATATCAAATTTTCTTTATAATAATATTATAGATACATTAAATAAATATGTATAGTGTTAATTTTACATTTCGATAGTAAGATTTAATTAATTTAGAATCGTAACACATTACACGGTTATTTGAATATTTAAATTGCCATATAATCTTTAAATAATTCAAGTGTAACAAAGATAATTTTCTTTTTAATTATTAAAATTTATTACTTGAAAAAATATGTATGTATGCATTCAAGCATAAAAATCTAACAATCTTATGCATGCAAGTGAATCGAACAGCATACATATTTCAAATGCCAAAAAATTTAATTTAATTTCATATTATTATCTAACCTTACAAAAAACGATGTAATGTGTATAGTAATCAAAAATTTTAGATCGAAAAAAAAAAAAAAGAAATGAAAGATTACAAGGATTACCTTTGATTCTGTTTGAAATCTTGATTTTGAACTTTCGCAATTTACGGTCTCTTCGTCCAAAAACAGTACTGATTTCCGCCTCAAACGCATGTAAGAACAAAAACACTTAACTATTGTGTAATTTTTGGAGTTTTGTGGATTATTTGGGAAGTATAAGGACGATTTAGGGTTTGATTTTGGAAGGATCGAGCGAAATTGCTAGAAAACCAAGTAGAGAGCGTAGAGAGATCGGACAGAGCTGCTAGCGAGAAATTAGGGTAACAACGGGTTTCTTTACATTTATACTTGATCCATGGGCCGGATTTTTTTTGGGCTTCAGAAATATTAGTTGGGCTGCTAGGTCTGAAAAACTAAATAACTAATATATAATATATCATTCCAAAGGTTGAACCCCAACCCTAAGGGCCCCCCACACCCCGGCCCGACAGGGTCTTTGGGAGGATGTAAATCATGGTGACTCAACTGAACATGAACCATAGAGGCTAGACCGGTGCTCACTGCGCACAAGAAGCCCCCCTCACTTTGATAGGTTGCTCCCACACTACCGCTGGTGAGACTCGATCCCTGGTCATCATTCCAAAGTTTCACCTCCATGACCAGTTGAGCTACCCATGCGGGCATCTAATATATATATATATATATATATATATATATATATATATATATATATATATATATATATATATATATATATATATATATATATATATATATATGGCAAATTATGTTGTGCATCCGTATGCACCCTGCATGGTGCATACAGATGTAAAAACGACGTCGTTTTAATAAAACGCGCGTCTCCCCTTAAAAAAAATCAGGTTCGATTTCCAGCAACAACATATAAATTAAAATTCCATAATCGATAAACTATAATTTCAGAATCTGATCTATGTACTAAAAATTTCAGAATGAATGAACTAAAATTTCATAATCTATGAACTAAAATTTCAGAATCGATGAACTACAATTCCAGAATCGATGAACTATAATTCCATAATCAATGAACTATAATTCCATAATCTATGAACTAAAATTCCAGAATGAATGAACAATATAATGTTGTTGCTGAGAATCGAACCTGATTTTTTTTAAAGGGGAGACGCGCGTTTTTTAATAAAACGACGTCGTTTTGACATCCGTATGCACTATGCACCATGCATGGTGCATACGGATGCACAGCATAACTATCATATATATATATATATATATATATATATATATATATATATATATATATATATATACACACACACCCACACACTAATTTAAATAAATATTTCAAATATATTAAATTCCAGGTTAAGGGTAATTATTATTATTATTGTTTTGGTATTAATGTTTTAATTGGGTTTTTTAGAATTTAATATGATAAATAACATTTCTCAAAATGTAATATTTTTTACGATAGGATAAATAAAATTTTTTTAAAAAATAATAAATTACAGAACGGTCTTAAATTACTTATTTGCAACGACAATGTAGAATATGATTTTCAATGTCAAATGTTGTATATAAAGACGTGTTTAATAATAATAATAATATATCAAATTTTGTATTTTATTATTTTTTGTTACATAGATATTTATATATTAATACCAAAAAAAATCATGTTTGTAAAAAATCAACAAATACATATGTTATGTCGTGATTTTATACACATATAACACCAACATTTTTCAACAATCATTATACTTTTGAGTTCTTTTATGTTTACTTATCATAAAAAAATAGAAAGTCCAATTCAAATAAAAATAATAATAAAGATTTGATCTTAAGGTTTAAGATATGATTTATATATATATATATATATATATATATATATATATATATATATATATATATACACACACACACACACTTTGTCCGTGCATCGCACGGGTGGATAACTAGTAATAATAATAATAATAATAATAATAATAATAATTATTATTATTATTATTATTATTATATACACGGCATGACCAGCAGCGTGACACCTGACCATCTGAAAGCTAGCCAAAGTGTCACTTGTTTTCTCTTCTCCTTCGCTCTGATGCTCCGTTGGTCGTTGTTATCATTGTGCTCTTCCATTTGTGAACCACTTTGCCTTAATATCATCTTGATTTGCCTTCATTTTAAGCTCTTGTATGCCCCAATCTACATTTCCTTTCCTTAAGCCATAAACACCTGAAATATGCTTCATTCTCGCATAAACACCTAACATTCACTCAGAAATTAGTACAAACGAAGCATAATTATGGGCTAATTCAAAGCTTATCAGTACTTAAGTTGCGTCATTTTAAGCAATGATCTTTTGCACCATAAATGATTTTCCAGCTTATGGTAACCTATCAGGGAAAGACAAAAGATAGTATTAAAGCTAGAAAGGATATGGTTGAAATGGGAATACGGGAGAAGTTAGCACCACTAGAATCGGGAAAACGGACATACTTACCACCAGCTTGTCATACTTTGTCCAACAAATAAAAGAGAAAACAAGTTTGTTTTTGTGCTTGTTTAAATGGCGACAAGGTTCCTTCTGGTTATTCATCGAATATAAAAAAACTTGTGTCAATGAATGACCTTAAATTGGTTTTCATGAAGTTCCATGATTGTCATGTATTAATATAATACACCACATGTTACCTGTTGCTATTCGGGTAATGCCTTTATTCAAAAAAAAAATTATTCATTATCAATAAATTAAACAAGAAAAATAATTTCATTAGTTATATTGTCTTTATTTTTCTCCAATGTAAAAATTCTTTAATTACATTCAAATTCATCAATTGATTATATTCGCTACATTCTCCTTACAATGCCTTTATTCAAAAAAATTATTCATTATCAATAAATTAATTAAGAGAAATAATTTCATTATATTGTTTTTATTTTTCTCTAATGTAATAATTCTTTACATTCAAATTCTTTAATTGATTATATTCACTACATTGTCCGTTATCTTTTTTGGTACACTATTTTTTTAATTAAATATCAAATTTATAATACAAAATAATGTTATATATTTATTTACCAAGTATTTTATTAATACTATGAAAAAATAGAAATAAAATAATTAAGCCAATCATATTAACTACTTGGGAAATTTGTTGACAAATAGAGTACGTATTCAAATCACACAGCAAATTGAAGTGGAAAACTACCTCGCAATGTCATTGTTTGGAAATCAGCGGTTAGCAGATTGTGTAAGCAGTTAGAAAATAGCGGATTATATTAGCGAGTTTGACCAACAAATTATATTAGTAGTTGGTAAAAATATATTTGAAAAAAAAATAACTGTTTAGATTAACATATAGAATGACCTAAAGGGTATAAAAATAATAATAATAATAATAATAATAATAATAATAATAATAATTTAATAAAAAAAATAAATTAAAATAAAATAAAAATAAAACATATGGGAGCCGAACGTTCGGCTCCCCTTAATTTTGTCACTTTTCTCACATTAGTGAAAAAAGTGGCATGGAGCCTTGAGGCTCCAATAAAAGGAGCCTCAAGGCTCCAATTTATACATCAACCTTGCCCATCCGTTGATGGGCAAGCAGTAAGCCAGCTAAACTCGCTTTGGTCATTCAAGGAGTCGAAATTGTTCCACAGTAAATATTTTTTTTTTTAATATATGAGTGTTTTGGGAAAATTATTCTTCAAAATGCTAAGTGAAAACATTGTAAATTGTAATGTTTGTATTTAAAGTGGTTTGAAACAAACTATTGCTCCAAACTGCTAAATAACCAAACACTTTCTTCAGTAACATCATATTTACCAACCGTTCAAAAAATATTTTACTACCTCATCTGAATTCTTTAAATTAGAAATTTCTTTATCCATAATAATTCATTCAACAATAATGGTTGAACTAAATGAACACTGAGCAAGATACCTAAAGGACGAGTACCGATTCATTCATGGATTTTCTTTATATAAAAAAAAAAAAAACACACACACACACACACAATCGTTATTATCAAGTAAACAAGTTATGAAAATGGTACTATTCAAGAACCTTATACAAGTATAATAAATGTTAATATTTTATTCAATACTTCCACATGAAACATGTAGGGGAAAAATTATCACGGTAGAATATCAATAGGCACTTGCAAGATCAAGAGTTCATAGTACAACTAAGAATAACAGTAACCCAATAAAGGACAAACACGGAAGATCATGAATACAATGACAATGTTACTCAAAAGAGAATTAAGAATACTTAAAAAAATTGAAATTCGGCTATTTCGTTTTTTTATATTCCAATAAAGGCATGCTCTATATTCTCCAGTCTCACCTCATTAGTTTTTGAGGTTGTTCAATTTAGTGATGAACTTAATGGAATTGTCTACAAATTCCTAATCTTGAGAAGCTGAAATTCTATACATGTTTATGGATTAATAATTTTGAGATCAGAGTTCCAAAACTTGAAAGCTTGTCTATTATAAGTTGTGTACAAGCTAAGAGGTCGAATTGCGATGGTTTGCATTTCATTTGAAAGCAATTAAGACTCTTTGCTTGGGTCACTTCTTCTTGGTAAGAATCTCTACTTTCACATTCTCTTTCTTGTAAGGGTTTTGTCCGAAGGCTGATTTGCCCCTTTTTGTTTTGTTTTTTTTTTTTTTTGTTAAGGGTGAAGATTTTGTATTAGTCGCACCAATGTTCCCAATAGCAATAAATCTATAAGTAATCAAATTATATAGTTTGAATTTTGCAAGCGAAAAGCAGTTCACTATCGCTTTGCAATTGCTTAAAAATTCTCCCAACCTATGTAAATTGGAGATTATAGCATTATATTTGAGAAAATTACCGATTTGGTCCCTCGACTATGAGGATTTCACCAATTTGGTCCCCGACTATCAAAATTACTCAATTTGGTCCTCGACTATGACATTTTTACCTGATTTGGTCCTAAGTGTTATGTGCAGGTCAAACCTAAAAGGCAATTTTGAGATTTTAAAAAAGTATCTTCCTTCTTATTCTCTAAATTTAAGTCGTTTGTTTTATATAAATAGGTTATTTGTTTTCGATAGCAGTCGCAACTTCAATATGCAACCAAAGTGCAGTGAATCATCTTCATCCAACTATAAGAATCAAATGATGTTCGAAAATGGAGATGCTTATAGCTGGAATTTAAATGATGTTGGCACAAGGCATCAAATTTTTGAACATCATTCGATTATTATAGCTTGATGAAGATAATTCACGGCACTTTGGTTGCATATTGAAGCTGCGACTGCTATCGAAAACAA